CATTGCAAGTGAGTGACTGCCAGATTGCCCCACCCACACAATTGGAGATTTTATTTCCCTGAAATATTTTTCTCCCTTGACCCCAGCCAAATCCAGCACATTTTTTAACAGAGAGAGATTTAGTTCCATTCTGTTTAGTTTTTGCAGGGTTGTTCTGCTGATAGGTAGAGATCCAAACCCCTTTATGTTGATTTCATTTCAGTATTCTATAATTCTGTAGGTTGCAGGAAAGCACAGAACACACTACCGAAGTCCAACTATATGGGAAATCTCAATTTTTTTAAAAAACTGCTTTCTTGAGTTTTGAGAAATACTATCAGCTGGAAGTGAAAGAAAATGACAGCTCGGCCATTATAGATATTTAGCAAATATGGTACAGGTAGTACTTGAAAGGTTTGATATGTATTTAGGGGGTGGGGTGGAACATCTGTGTTTACTGTTATGTACACAAATACAAAACTAAAAATGTTTTGCAGTTAATGATGTTTTTATTTCCACTGCTCTCTCCTGTTGCTGTGTGCCACTCCTCTCCATCTTCTCCAGATCGGCTTTGCAGACTATAATCTGCTCGACATTCTACATGTTCATTTGGTCCTGGCATCCAATTGCCTGGCTTCCTTGCCTTTGCTGGCTGGCTACGTGCAACGCCTTAATGAGCGGCCACTTCTCAAGAATTTCCTGGAATCAGATGCCCGTAAGAAACGTTTCATCAATGGGAATGGCAAGCAGTGAAGCCACTTACTTTTCTAGGATGCAAGTTTGTAGTTTTGTACCTTTGAGATCTAATAAAGCTACCGTAGTTAAAAAAGCCTGCATCACTCTGCTGGGGAAGGAAAATCACGAAATCTATGGACATGGAAGCCTTTTACACTCCAGAAAAGATGCTTTCTGGTTGAAATAGAGTAGCAATAATGCTAAAAGCGCTTATTAATGGTAATGGTAGATACACTTTTTAAAAAGAATAAAATGCAGTTCTGCAAAGACTGATTCGTAGTGTGGCTATGACACAGGAATAAGAATGTACCATTCACTCATGCTCTTTTCCCATTGGAATCAAAATCCAACAGTTGCATTTTTCTAAGTCACCAGTTCCTCATAAATCAGTCATCCCCCTTCTAAATATATTCTGGTCTCTCTTACTAGCAGTGTATATTTCCCTTAGCAGTAATCTGCATGGCTACAGTTCCAAGATTACGGTGTACACTGCATTTCAGGATCAAAGATGGCTAAAACTGCTGAATTTTTCTTTTTATTTGGATCTGATAATAAACTCTACTACAAAATGGAGAAAATATCCTATTATGTCAGTTTGATTAAAATAATTTCAGCAACCATTTCTAAGGTAACTTATTTTCAGACAGTTGTCTATTAAATAAGTGTACAAATGATTTTCTGCCCCGCCCCACATCATCAAACGTTCTTGTCATATCTTCCATATTTTCAAGTGGTGCAGTGCCCAGTCACTTCTCTTTTCTGTGTTGGATCAAGTTATTTCTATTTATTATACATTTAAAATAGGTCATACTGCTATTCTGCTTGAGATTCTTAGGTATTTTCATTATATAAGTTTATCATACATATCTTATAGGTTAAAATATTCTGCAAATGTATCTTTGAAGAGAAAAAAAAGCATTTCTCATAGTAGACTTGTAGCCAGAGTTCTTTTAATAAACCAGGATATCTGAAGAACCATCTCACCCCAATGGGATAGGCTTCCCTATTCATTCTAGCATGGAGTGGGCAACTATGCAACTTTACAACTTGTGGACGTCAACTCCCAGAATTCCTGAGCCAGCCATGGGAGTTGATGTCCACAGTTATAAAGTTGCCATATTTGCCCACTCCTGTTTTAGCAGAAGGGGACCTACTGCACACTCCCATAAGCCAAGGAATTTCAACTGGTGAGGTCTAGATAGAAGAACAGACTTTTCTGCTATGACTCCGGCCCTTTGGAACATCTTGCCAGTGGAGATGAGATCCACTCCCCTCAATCCTTCTGGCCGCCTAGAAAGACCTTAAAACTTGGTTCTGCTAGTTGGCTTGGGGACGCTCTAGGCTAGAGGTAGTTGGTGCAGTGACAGAGAAGACACTACTTCAGTCCTACATTTTTAGCCTGTAGTTAACTCCTGTAATTTTAAATGGTTTTTATATTTATTGTACTGTAAGCCACCCAGAGTCACTTTGGGGGGTGATATGAGCAGCATGTAAATTTAATAAGAAATTTTAAAGGAGGAGACCCTTTCTTTGATTTGTCATAGATGAAAGTGCTTTTGATTTCCATTTGAAATATTTTCTTTTATAAGGGAGCCATTTTTAAATTTTATTTTAAAAAAAGAAAGAAACAGCCTCTAAGGATACAAGCATGAGAGAATGATGTCTTCTCAGGGTGGTGGTGGTGAAGAACAGACACAAAGCTGATTATACTTGCCTCTTGTTTATTTTTCAGTGTTGGTAATTTTGCAGCAAAGTAAGCAAGTTAGTCTTGGAGAAATGAATGTTAGCCCCCTTTTTTTGGGGGGGGGGGAAGAGATCAATTCTACCATAAATTGCTGGATTGTAAATGAATTTCAGTAGGGTGATGCTAGACTCAGGACCACTATATGGGTTGAGTGAGGGCTACATACAACTCTTAAATGATACTATTCCTATCTTTTGAACATATAAATGGGGAGGGATTTCTATATGATTGCACTGAAAATCATGGGCATGCTTGTTAATCAAGAAACTGAATTATGTTTTAGGTGCTACAATGATTGTAGTTCTTCATATGCATGTTAGCAACAGATTGTTCTTTGTATTACCATCATAAGCCACTATTACTAAGAGCTCAAGACATTTTGCTGTGTGAGGCAGTGGACAAAAAGGTGTCCCTCTGCTAAATATATACTAACAGCCTAACTTTACCTTCAGCACTGGCAGTAAAATTGTGTCCTTCACTCTACTCGAGAAGGGCGTACTAGTTTGATGGCATAAGCCCCTCCTGCCATTTTGTCATTCAGTACCTTTCCACTTCATTTCTCCATGCGCCAATGTGTGTCATATGGCCATGCCTCACATTCATTGGTCAAAATTGTCCTTTTTGCTTACTTGGTTAGGCGTTTGGTTGGTGTTTTCTTCAGCCATATTGCTTGAGATATTGGTAATGCAAGCCTCTAGCTTCTTGCTACCCGGGCTAGCAATGTGCAAGCAGCAGTACTAGCTCTGAAAGATGGGAATGCTCATAGAACAGAGAAGCTAGGGTTAGGAGGGTCAAGTGGAATTGGAGATACTATTGTAATGCCTCCCTGCATCTTTTGTCTGAGGTAGGTACCTCACTGCCTAATGCTGGGCTGGCCTTTCTATAAATGAGGATTGGAAAGTTATGTTCCAAGATCTATGTATGATTGATGATCCCTCTGTACAATTTTGGAGCACTTCCATGCAACTACTATGCTAGAGTACACTCCAATATAATGGGATCATCCTTCTCGGACCAAGAATCAACAGGATCAGAGAGATCAGTAATGTAATCCTCTTTCTGGCAGAACAGATTAGCATCTTTCTGAAAATGAGGTAAACTGGCAAAGGCAAGTCCCAGTGGAGCTAATGGAAATGGAGGGATCCAGGAGCTGTGGTCCTTTGTGTACCAGATACAGACAGAAGCATAATCGGAACACTTCATATTTAAAAAGAAACTATTACAGAAAACAGAACTACAGGTATATATTATTTAACTTTAAAATGAAATTGTTTTCCTCTTCTTTTCATGCCATGCCAAGATCCTGCAGACTGCAAGTCTATGAGCATTTTTAAAATTGATTATACTTACATTCTGAGAATATTTTTGGCTGAAGAGGAGAATAAATCCTTACCAACTAACTAAAATAAGTAAATAAAGCAAGCCAGTAGAGGACATTTTTGTGAAAAAAACACTATCATTTTAGAAGAGGAATATGTAGAATGGTAAATCCACAAAATTATAAACAATATTGATTAAAACTGGAGACATCTAACAACATACATGAGGGATTTATAGGCACTGAATATCCCAATGACTAGTTACATAAAATACATATACATAAAATACATAATATATATTTGAAGCAGTAAACATCCCATCATTATTAAAATGACAGAAAAATTGTTTTATGTTTAAACTGGATAAAATAGCAAATTGCTGTATCTTTAGTTATGCCCATCTTATGAACTTCCTTAAAGTATCTGGTTGACCACTGCCCAGCTAACTTTACATATGACAAATCCAATAGATAATAAATATTCTGTAGGGTTTTATGACTGCAATTATTTTACATAATTGTGTAACAATTTCACAAGCAAGCTATCAAAACGTGTACAGCAAGATTCACAGATGGAATCCTAAAATGTGTAAAATCTTTGACCTAACCTGACAAGAGAAGCGAGTTAACTGTATGATCCAAGTTTTACTATGAGTTGCACTTGAAAAGCCAAAAGGCTGCAAATGGTTGTGCAGTTGACTGCAACAACCAAGACTAGATGGAAAACACGTCCAGAACCTAGAAAAAAATGGTTGATTTTGCTACAACATATTTATTTATTGCAATCTTTTAATTACAAACTTCTGCCTTAAGCACATAGGACATTAATAGTTAACATATGTGAAATCTCACTGCTTATATTGAAAACAGATTTCGGAATAGTCCCTTGCATATCCCGATTATTTATTTATTTTTAAAAGATCCTAACTATTGTCATACATGTTGCAAACAAATCCGAGAGGAAACTTTACCCTTATAAACATATTTTATCAACCACTGGGCGACGCACATATACTGCTTTATTCCACACCCATAACCTCTTGCTCCAAAAAAACCGAACCTTCGCGGCAGTCTGTCATTTATTCAGCACTAAAACACTGGTCGGCGATCGCGTGCACTTCCTTGTGGAACTTAAACTACAATTCCCATGATCCCAGACGCCAAAGGAAGTTGCCCCGTCTCTGGTCTTCCGGGAAAAGCGAAGAGAAACATCGTGACGTAGTATTATTGCGCCTGACAGGTGAAGGTGACGAGGTTAGGTGCTGCAGCAGGGGAGACACCGCCCCCCCCTCTTCGCTCTCCGCTATGTTGGGGGCTCAGCCCTTGCGCCTCCGTCCGATTTGCACCCAGGCTCGCTTTTTTGCCGCCGCCGCCGCTCCAGAATCGGTGACTTCTAGTTGCCCTTCTTTTGTTTCTTTTTCAACAAGGGAAAGCGGAGAAGGGATGGGGACTTATACAACTGCAGCAGTGGTTCTCAGCTAGCTTGCCGCGGGGCATAGGCTTATTTCTATTGTGCCACGAGATTTTTGTCTTATGTTATTTTTTTTCTTTTTGTGCTGTGCATGTTCTGTGTAATCCGTATGTGCAGTACAGTGCAAATATTATTAAAATAGTTTTAACTTCTTAAAACATGTCTTACACGTTTAAAAATATTACATGCATTTCATAATTTTCCGTGTGCCAGAGAACTACCGTTATGTTCAATATTGTGTTGCAGATTCAAAAAAGGATTGAACTAGAGGAATAAGGGAAAGGAGTATGGATGATAGAGATCTCCAAAGTCCTGCTTTTTGGACCTCCTCGGTTCCTCCAACATGCTTTTTAGTTATTTCTAATTTTAGCATGAATGTGTGTTTTAGAATATATATTCTTGGGGGAAGAGTGCTTTTTTCTTGCCTATTATGAAGATGGCTCAGTTTCTGTGCTTAGTTTTGGAAAGGGATTTATTTGCCCCTTTTGTTTTGTTTTTTTGTTTTTTTGCTTTTGTTCTATTTTTGTAGTATGGTTTTCTTCAAAGTTAAAGCTATTTCTTTTTGTTTGACAGGCACCCCCAAAGAAAACTCAGTTTGGTCCCCTCAAAGATGAGGATCGCATTTTTACTAATCTTTATGGACGTCATGATTGGAGGTGAGAAACAAAAATGTAGAATATATTTTGCTTGCTGACAGGAAAATATACAGTTTTCAAATCTTTTTAGTTAGTGGAGAAAAAACTTATGAAGGAAATGGAGGATTAAACATTTAACTAGTGAATGAATTGTAGGCTGCAAAAATATTTTTCTACTTATCTAACAGTTGTGGTTTACTTAAATGCAATTGTAATTATTTTAAATTTCTCTAGTTGTGTGTATTCATTGGTTGTTTGCAAAATTGCTTTCTTGGCAATTAAATTTCTCTGATATTTTGGCACTGCACAATTTTGTGATCGTGCATTTATTTGTGCAGCTACTACTTGTGAGGTTTTCTGGTTATTATAAAGGAAAAGAAAGCCAGGATATTGTCATGTCCTGGCTTCTACTACTTTGCATACAATAGAAAATAGAAGAAAAATCCACAGTGATCTGTTTGGTATCAGCATGACCATGGATAGAGTTTGAAGCCTTATTCAACTCCACATCTTTCTGCTTCTTTTTAGCCTCTCTTCTGACTTTGGGGAGGGAATTAAGAAAAAGAAAGAGATGGAGATCTAAAGGAAGACCTATTTTTGTTGCATTTTTCTTAGATTTTACCACTGTTTTAGAATAGCAAAGTGAAGGCTAATGCTTGTTAATTCTATAACTATCGGTTTTCATACAGGGGCTAAGAGAATAAGCAATGAAACATGCAGTGTGATGCAAATGCTGCCCTTTACTTACTTGTGCTACAAATCAAAATGCTCCTGCCTCCTATTTTTCCGTATTAAGAACCCTTAATGTAGGGTGAGTTGGGCCAAGAGAGACCAACTGGGTCAAAATCATGATTAAATCATATTCATGCCTAAAGGAAAACTAGAACTTGCAGCTTCCCAGTTTTTAGTCCAGTATCTTAACTACTACATTAAACTGCTGTCATATTCCGAGATACCTGAACAACCCCAGATGGGAAAAGCAGCCCTAAATTTATTTACAAAATGGAGTTAATATGCATGACTCTTTCTTTTTTGTCTCTAGGTTGAAAGGGGCTTTGAGCCGAGGTGACTGGTATAAAACCAAGGAAATCCTGCTGAAGGGTGTTGATTGGATCTTGAATGAAATAAAAACTTCAGGCCTGAGAGGCCGTGGAGGAGCTGGCTTTCCCACTGGCCTCAAATGGAGCTTTATGAATAAGCCTCCAGATGGCAGGTGTGGTACTAATTATGAACATTGTAGTTTCAAACATTAGACTCTGCCTGTCTTCTTGTGCAGAACCTGTCTAAGCCATAGTTTTTCCTTCTACTTTTGGGTTGGAAGGCCATTTATTATTAATTAGAATTTGCAACTGTGGTTTCTATTTCAGTCTTTTACATTTAAAATTGTGCATCTCAGCTTTGAGGAATGATTTATATGTTTCAAAAGTTTTAAAGCCATCTTTTCTTCTCTCTTTTTCAAAAAAAAGTTGTGTTCTCTAGAAAGATTGGCTCTGTGAAGCAGCCAGATCTCTGGACTTCTTATCCAGAAGAGCTGCTATAAGGGGGGATAGTTGGTTTGGCTAACTAGGTGAATGGAATGTGAGATTCATACTTGGAAAAGTCAGCTTTAAATATCTCTGTGTGTGCTCTTATTTAAAATTCACCTTTTCTCAGCCTATATTTTGCCATATGGCTAAAATATTATCATTTGCTGTGGCTGCAGAAATACAAATATAGTTTCCTCAGTAATACTTAGGATACTTAGGATGCATACTTGTATGCTCAGATTAGTTATGTAGTGTGTGTGTAAACTTTAATAGATTAGGTAGCATTATTAACTTTAGCATATACTGATGGAGAGGCTTTTCTTGTTGGTGAATATAATTATTTCTGTGTTTCAGGCCTAAGTACTTGGTAGTGAATGCAGATGAAGGGGAACCAGGAACTTGTAAGGATCGGGAGATTATGCGTCATGATCCCCATAAGCTAATAGAGGGCTGCCTAGTGGCAGGAAGATCTATGGGGGCTCGAGCTGCTTATATCTATATACGTGGAGAGTTCTACAATGAAGCATCAAACTTGCAGGTAAGCTGCTGTCTCTTGTGGTTACCTTAATTTTGTCTGCTAGATTGCCTTTTTCTATGGTCAGAAATCAAGGTCACCGGTGTTTGGGGTATGGCTGTAGTAATTAATGCTATCTTACTTTATTAGGTGGCAATCAAGGAGGCCTATGAAGCAGGACTGGTGGGCAAGGATGCTTGTGGCTCTGGCTATGACTTTGATGTCTTTGTAGCAAGAGGGGCAGGTGCCTACATTTGTGGTGAAGAGACAGCACTCATTGAATCCCTTGAGGGCAAACAGGGCAAACCCCGCCTCAAGCCTCCTTTCCCTGCAGATGTAGGTAAGGCATTTTAAATGTTTCTTCTACTGGTGGTTATGTATGCGTGTGAATTTCTAATATGCTTCCTCAAGTCAACATAAGACTCTCATTATCTATATATAAGGCCATCAACATACTTTTTCCACCTAAAATAACTTTTAAGTCCCTATCAAATATCCCATTTAATAGTACTAAAACTCTCATTTTGATTATTCTTGTGCCCATTCCCCTTTTCATCTTGGATCGTTAAGAAATGTTGTTCATGTTAACCTATATTCTTTCTTTCTCTAGGGGTTTTTGGGTGCCCTACCACAGTGGCAAATGTGGAAACAGTTGCAGTAGCACCTACCATCTGCCGTCGAGGAGGTACCTGGTTTGCTGGCTTTGGACGTGAGCGTAATTCTGGCACTAAGCTCTTCAATATCTCGGGCCATGTCAATACCCCTTGTACTGTGGAAGAGGAGATGTCAATACCATTGCGTGATTTAATTGAACGACATGCAGGTGAGAGTGACTTATTCACCCCAAAGAATGAGCTATCACTTAAATTTAGATACCTATATTAGTGGCATCAGCTTTTTAGTTCATTTTGTTCCTCTTGTATGTTGACCTGATCCAATCATCTAAAGAGCCAGGCCTCATGGTGTGTTTCTGCCTTCTGATCAGGCGGCATTAGAGGTGGCTGGGATAACTTGCTTGCTGTGATTCCTGGAGGCTCTTCAACACCGCTCATTCCCAAGTCAGTGTGTGAGACAGTTCTGATGGACTTTGATGCCTTAGTGGAGGCACAGACCGGGCTCGGGACAGCAGCTCTCATTGTCATGGACAAATCGGTAAGCAATGTTCCCTAGAGTTATTTCTCTGGGTTTTGAGTATGACACATCTTCATTTTCTTCTCTTTCTCCCCAGACAGATATAGTTCGAGCCATTGCCCGCCTCATTGAATTTTACAAGCACGAAAGTTGTGGGCAGTGCACACCTTGCCGAGAAGGTGAGTGTTATTATTCAAACCTTTTGAAGTGTTAGCAAAATTATCCCAGAATTCTCTGAATTAGAGTTGGGATTGGAAAAAAAAATGTGAAAAAACTTTCACATTATTTTGCTTGTGGCAGTATTATTTAAAATACAGTGGAAACAGATATCTGAAAATCTCTGAGGAAGGAAATTGCCAATCCAAGGTCAGGAAAAGATCTGTAACCTGGGCAGCAAAATCAGTTTAAACTTTTGTGTTTACTATTGTGCTGCCTTTCTGATTTTCATGAGGCTTTGTATTCCACTTTTAATGTTGATTCCCTTCCTACAGGTGTTGACTGGATGAACAAGGTCATGTGGCGATTTGTGAGCGGCAATGCACAAGTGGCAGAAATTGATGCACTCTGGGAAATTAGCAAACAAATTGAGGGTCACACTATCTGTGCCCTGGGAGATGGGGCTGCTTGGCCTGTGCAGGTAATTTCCTCTTTACTTTAGAATATGCTGAAGAATCACACAATTTGCTTGAGGGAGAGCTAGAAATGAAATGATTTTGTAGGAAGGCCTCAGGTTGGAGTACAGGGAATGCTACAGATGTATTTAATGGGTAATTCCTGTGCTTGATTTTTTACAGGGTCTAATTCGTCACTTCCGTCCAGAACTGGAGGAACGGATGAAGCAATATAATGAATCTAAAAAGCAGGCATCTGGATGAACAGTTATAAAGCCCACCTCAAAGAAGTTACACTGTTCTATAATCTTTTGTAGCCCATGTCTACTTTTGCTTGGGCTTCAGTATCAGAGTTTAATTTCTATTATTTGTGACAACCTGCCTCAACTCCCATTTTTCTTTTTTGTTTTCTTCTTGGGCAGTTTATTAAATACTTTAGACTGATCTGTGTAATTTCTTACAGCAAAGAAAATAAGGTGAATACCTGGATGTGATCTTATTTTATTATTGGATTTCTATGGCCATCTAATTCATAAATGAGACTCTGGATGGTGTACAGCATTAGAAATAGAATGTAATATGCCCCATGAAAGTAACTGAGAATCAAACCACATAGGAACATCTTACAGAACAAGCATAGCAACATCCTGTGTCTGAGGCCTTGAATTGCCTTTATATACTTCTTGGAATAATTGATTATGAAATGAAGCAAAGAAATTTTTCCAATCTATATGAGTTCATGGAAAATAATGTCCAAAACGACCAGTCAGGATTCTGTAATACATAAATATAACTTTGATGAACTCATCTAAACCTTTACTTTCCTAATTCTTCTGTAAGGCCTATAAATGTGCAGATGAAATGGAAAGCTGTACTATTTGCAAATATTTTTAATTTTTTAAAGTAGTAAACATCAGGATGAAATGGTTTAATGCAGCACATCTGGCTCTGCAGATATATTTCAGTATTGACTTGCATATGTAGTTGGATGTGCAGTTGGCCATGTCGTGGGGGAATTCACTGAAGAAAGCAATTATGTTTGGAAGAATTAGCGGCAAAGGAACCCAGGCTGTGAAAGAACACGGTGGCTGGACACTATCAAAGCTGACATCAGCTAGACCATAGAAAAATTCAATTAAATAGTGCAGGATCAGATGTGGAGAGACCTGGCCCAGAGAATCGCAAAAGGTTGGACTTGACTGAATGAGTAACTTCATAATCATGCTCTTGGATGAGCAATATCAGTCATCTTTAGAACCTGGAGGCTTAGTAAGAAAGGAGTAGTGCAGTGTAATAAAAGATAGCTTTCATCTATTACTTGAACTAGCTATTTGAATAATGTAGTTTCAGGATTCACATACTATGCTCTAAGTCAAAAAAGTAATATTAAGGCTGAGTACATTATGTAATTCTTGTACCCTTGCCTCAGCTGTTGCTCTGGGATAAATTAAAAGGGACAAAACGGAAGACGGTTTCAAATTGTTTCATACTAAATGGAGTAGTTTGTCTTTGGGCTGCTTATGTTTTTTCTTTTCTGGTATTTATACTGGTTTTTAAACTATGTCACCTAGAGTTGTTCAATTGCCTCTAAATTGCTTAAATACATAGATACCATATTGTAATACAAAGACCTGTTTCATCCAGTGAGAAGAGAAAAGCACAGGATCTTTGGACAACCTATAGAGGGGAAAACATAGTGTTATATATCGGGGCTCTAACCCCTCTTAGGAATGTTCAACTGGGACCTGCCCTTTATCCACTTTACATCATTATGTTCAGCCATGGTGGCATTTGAATTATTTTACATATTTCTCAATAGTAAATAGGCCACAATTTTTGTCTAACATATTAAGGCTAGCACATATGCTTAAAATAGCTTCCTGAATAATAAGTAATACTATTACAAGAGATTCTGTGGGCTATTTATTAGTTTATTTGACCTTATAGATAACAAATGATTATGACAATTCCTGGGTGCAATTATTATTTATTTGTATCCTGCCTTTATTACTTTTACAAATAACTCAAGGTGGCATACATATACATCATTTTGGGGATTAATTCCAGGGCAGAAGCCCCCAAATAAACTTTCCATTTTGTCACTGATGCTATCATTTTGCTATCTTCATGTGGTTTAATACTTGTCCCGAAAAGTAAGGATTTTTAAAATTACTGTTTGATATCTTATCAAACCAATATCTTAAAATCTCATAAAAGCAAGTATCAACCTTGAGTTAAATAGATCTTTTTGCATCCCACAGTCTAAAGATACATGTATCTTGGGTGGAGTTCAAACTTGTCAGAATATGTCAGCACAAAGCTTTCCTGTGTAAATCACTGAAAGGAAACAAAGATGCCTTAAAGAGCCGTTTAGCCCTCTTAACCTTTCCAGCCATAAAATCCTAACAGCCGCCCTCAAGGTCTCTAAAGGGGCGCTCGCTGCACCGCCCAGCCTCTCAGTTTGGGGCGTGGCTTTTGCCACCCACCGGTCTCATTGGTGGAGGCGGCTTCCTCGGCTGTCGGTTTTATGCTGCTCTCGGCGAAGAATTCCCTCTTTTGACGGAGAGGAACGTCTCTGCGAGGTTAGAACGGCGCTTTCCATATTTCGGCCTGGCGGAAGTATGCCCTAACTGACATCGCCCTGTTCCCCCATTTGTTGAAAAGCAGGCTGGGAAGCTTTTCAGTCCCGCCATCTTTGTTGAGGGGAGGGGCGGGGCTAATAGGAAGAACTGTGAAGTGGGATTCTTTTGGTTGCTCTGAGTAGCCGGTTGCGTCGCCGGGTAGTTTTGCGGGTAATTGTGATAGCGGACGGAGGACTGTTTTGTGCTTTTCCTTGGTGGCTGCTCTCGAAAGAACGAACCTCCTTTTTTGTGTGCTTCTGGAGATTGAATGGGACGGTTTCAGAAGCCCCGGCATCTCCTCGACGGGGTGGACTACTGCTCCCATCTCAGGCTGGTTGGCTAAGGATAATGGGAGGTGATGTCCAACTCATATGGAGAACTCTGGGTAAAGCTGATAAGGCAGAACACAAACACCCAAGACCTGCACCCTGATTAACCATCCTGTGATAGTTCTCGTTTTCTGACTATGGAGGACTTAAACTCCTGCCTGCTCTGGGCTTGTCAAATTCCCCGTGCGGTTTCCGGGTCTTTCTTTGTGCTTCTACGACGGTCGCAGCCGCGTTTCCTGACACGATACGAAACGACTGTCGCAGACCAAGAGTGGTGGGGTCCAGATTTGATCAGGGGAGATGAAATGTAGACCCTTGAGTTTGGATTCCAAACTTTAACCCTCCCTGCCTCCCTTGCACAACAAGTTTGGACTAGCCTTAGGAACCATGGGATGAGGCTGAAGGAATTGCTAAATCGCAAGGCGTGGACTGTCATTCAGCTGAAATTCTTCCCTTCCTCTTTTTTTCCCCCCATTTAGGGCACTATGCTTCCATCTCTGCACTTCCATCTCTGCCAGCGTACACTCTGTATACCCATAGCCAGGGTGGGTCTGGTACGTAGATATTTATCCTGGGAAAACGAGCAGCGGTGCAAAGGGCTGCTAGAGAAATCCACTGTCCGGTACAAGAAAGAAACTATGGGAGCAGCAGTGCTGGTATCTCTGTGCTCCGTGGCTGGGGACCCAGCGATCCTGTACACTCTGCGTTCCAACACTCTGACCGGTTTATACAAAGGGGAAGTCAGGTACTTGACAGCTTAATCTTCCTCCTTAGTAAATGCAAAGATAAATTGCAGAATATCCAGATGGGAGTCATTAACTCCCAGTCACATCCTCTTGTTGTCTTGGGTGGACCTCATAAGTTTTCTGAAGAACAGTTGAAAGCCTGAGTATAGAGACAATTAAAGAGAGGCACAATAGTTGTCTCCAGATATATAAAACTCTTGCAAAAGATAGGACCTAATTGTTTTAGAGTTGTTCTAAAGAAAGGGGCAGGGAAGCATTATTTAGCTGAATGTTACAAATTGGCACACAAATGTTTCATAGCAATATAGGCTGGAGAGGTATTTGAAAAGCAGGGTGACAATTCAACAGGATGTGTCTTCATTGAAGAACCTGGCACAAAGTTAGTGATTGAGCCAGAAGATGTCCAAGAAACTTTCTGACTTTCCCAGTCCCTGTCAAGTAATTTTAAGATTTTCCCCTCCCAAACTTCCCTTGCACAATAACTGATTTGCTTTTGCAGTTTCCCAGGTGGTAAACGTGATGACTCTGACCAGGATGCCATCACCACAGCACTGCGGGAGACTCATGAAGAACTGGGCATACAGTTAAAGGAGGACTGTGTCTGGGGAATCATGAGAGCTATTCCTGATAGGGTAATGCTTAATGTAGATCCTTATCTTCAGGGATTAAATGAACTTTGAAATAGACTTCTGTTGTGGAATCACGATGGATATGCTGTTTTGTGCTAGAATCAGTCTGGGGGTGGTGGGGGGGACGGGGACCTTTTTTTTTTGTAATTGCTGTCTGAGATGAGAGCAATGGAAAATTTCCAGAAAACAGAAAAGCTGAGCTTGGGAATTAACATACCACCTGGGGTATGCTTTGCTTTATGTTTTTTCTTTGAGAAAGCATGGGATAGTGAAAAACTCATATCTGTTTAATTTTGCCTTTTTTTTCAGACTAATATGATGGTGGCTCCTGTACTAGCAAACCTGGGGCCTTTGGAGGACCTGAAACTGAAACCTAACCCCCAAGAGGTGAATCAGAATATTAACTGGGACACAGTGACACATATTATTTTTATTCAATATATTTTTCAGGAAAGATGGGTGTGAAAGAAAATTATCAGACACTTAGTGATATTCTAGTGGCAATTCTTCCTGTGTTAAGCACTAATTCCCTTGGAAGTAATCTCTTACTTCCCTGTGGTAGGGATCTTACGGGTGGGATGCACCATTTTCTTTCTTTTTGATACCAGATGTTTCTATTTCTGAACCTCTCCCCCACTTTCCCCCCCCCCTCTATTTATTTCTGATCCTCTTTTCTCTTTTTTTTCCAGTATTACAATTTGAGATTGTAGTACCAGGGGTGAAATGCTCCCACTTCGGACCGGATTGCCCGATCCGGTAGCGATGGTGGGGGGTGGTTCGGAGAACTGGTAGCAAAACTCCCTGCCCCCCCCATGCCCAGCTGAGCCACGCGATCATCAGAGGGTTTTTTTTTTTTTTACTTTTAAAAGCATTTTTTCTACAACCTCTTTGGCCAAAAAAAATACTTAAAAAAAAAAAGCCTCTGATGATCGTGGGGCTCAGCTGGGATCGTCAGAGGCTTTTAAAAGCATTTTTTTCTGCAACCTCTTCGGCCAAAGCTTTAAAAGTAAAAAAAAAAGTTGGCCACGCCCACCCAGTCACATTACCCCCCACCAAGCCATGCCCACAGAACCGGTAGTAACAAATTTTACATTTCACCACTGATCTGAACTAATTACTTCCAAAGGATTTTGATGGAAGAGAAGTTATTCCATAACTAAATTGGACAAGTTATGCTTCCACTCAATCTTTGTTGTTTGATTTACAGGTTGAGGCTGTTTTCACACTGCCTGTCTCCCACTTGCTACAAGAAAAGAACCAGGGCTACACCCACTACTGCCGTGATGGTATCTACCGTTACACATTGCCTGTCTTCCTGCATGGTCCTCACCGTGTATGGGGTCTTACAGCAATCATAACAGAGCTGACTCTGGAGTTGCTAGCACCAGGAAAATACTTCAGGCGGACTTATGTCATGGGTCAGCACTGACTTTTGACTCAAATTCACACTTGGATCTCTAAGATCTCTTTTTGTTTTCCATATTTGTCAAAGGACTTTATAGAATTGATGATCTCATCAGCCAAGTGCTGCTCCTTTTCCTTGTCATAAGAATCTTCAAAACTCAGGTCAGCTCAGTTCTAAATAACAAGAAGAAAACCGTTTATCTCTCCAGCTCACTACCTCAGAAGACAACTATTACATTATTGGCAAAAAGCAATGATGAAACATCTATCTAGTTTACTGTTGTTACCTGAATAAACAAGGACGCTCGAAACCTTATGCAGGTTTCTGTTTTGGCAGGTGTAGTACAAATAAAACATAAGTTTTAACCTCAAAGATCCTAGACCTGCATTCTAGGCTTGCTTGATTGGTAATGGCAATAACTGCATAAATGAATGATAAAAGGAGCATTTGCCAAAGAAAGCACTGACCTTTAAGCTACCAAAATAATAAGTGCCAGCGATCCAGGTTAGGATACAAATTTGTGAATGAATATTGATCCCTATTTCTTTCACATCTCCACTATTTCCTTATCATATGGAATTTCTGTTTATGGCTCTGTGCTGATTTAACAAAATCTGCATTTCAAGAACAGATGTATATAAATCAAAGTTGTATGCAAGAAATAATATTTAAATATTTATGTTGTTAAATCAGAATAAATCTGAGATTGTTTGGAATATAGATCCTAGTAATCAGTTCCTAGTTTTTTGAGACATGGAACATTTTTCCTTTGCCCTTCCTCTGCCCTTCCTACTCTCTAAAATAGGAGCATGAATTATATATTGCTACCCTAAGAAAACAATTCTCATTAGGGCTATGGCACATTTTGTAGAACAAGGCATCTTACAAGATACTTGTGAATTGGTAAAACCTTGGTTGTATGCAGTCTGAATTCTGCCGTGTGTGTGTGTTCATACAGAGGGGACAATATGTTGATTTCACCTTAGCTTTTTCCCAACATGTAGCAGACAATAATATAATTGGAATTAAACTGGTTCAAATATTTATTTGGTGTAACAACAATTCAGAGTTGATGGCAGGAATTACGGAGGTGATGCATATTTCTGAATAGAGGTTCACACCAAACATGTTAGTATCCTTCAAAAGAATGTTGGTGGATTCAGAGAAAGGCTGAAAATAAAATGGTAGAAGTGTATAGGTCTGAATGGATGTTGTAGTTCAGAGGCCTTCAAACTTGGTAGCTTTAAGATTTGCGGACTTCAACTTCAGCATAGCTGGCTGGAGAATTCTGGGAGTTGAAGTTCACAAGTCTTAAAGCTGCCAAGTTTGAAGACCTTTGTTGTAGTTTAAGACACAGAAACTAATAGATTATAAACAATGTGGCTTTTGGGGAAAAAAAGTATATGAGATGGGCAGTCTTGTTTTACAGTAACCAGGTCACCAGCAATTTTCCTATGCTGAATATGGAAAGAGGAGAGTCTTGCCTAAAAAGAGGCAATAAAAATGTGCTATTAAATTTAAATATGTTTAATAAATAAATGCCAGTCCTGCCCTGAGGTTCCATCTATGCATTGAGAGTAGAAACATGGCCAGGGGAAATCTCCACAAACAGGCCTTCCTAGAAGATTGCACTGCAGTCCCAAAACAGTCTCTATGCAGGGCCGGATTTTCCTATAGGCTAACTAGGCTTCAGCCTAGGGCCTCAAGATCAAGAGGGCCTACATTCAAATTGTTAGCAAAATTAAAATTACACTTTCACTATAGGTGAAAGGGCCTCATAAGTGGAATAGCCTAGGGCCTCTTTTCATCTAAATCCGGCCCTGTCTCTATGTGATGCCCAGCACTGTCTGCAAGGCAGGGCAGAATGACAAAAGAACCTTGTAAGGTCACAAGGAAAGCCCCACCCCTTCTGTGCATGTGTCAGGACAGGCTGCAGGGCTTGTAGCAGGCCCTGCTTCAGTTGTTTGGGTAAAATTAGCCTGATACTTTGTGGCAATGTCCACCTGCAGAGCCTTCCCTTTCTCTAATATATACAGCCTATGAACATTAGACAAGGAAACTAAACAATGTTGTGGCAGGTGCCTCTCTTTAGGAGAAGATCCTCTCTTCATGATTTTAACATGAATAGCTTAGTTTGTCCACTTAGTATGAAATTTGAATAGAGGATTTTCAGAATGATGTGAATAGGTTGGGGTGGGGGTGGGGGGGGGGGTGTTGTTCTAAAGCAGTGTTTCTCAACCTTGGGCAGTTTAAGACGGGTGGACTTCAACTGCCAGAATTCCCCAGTCAGCATGGCTAGCTGGAGAATTCTGGGAGTTGAAGTCCACCCATCTTAAAGTGGCCAAGGTTGAGAAACACTGTTCTAAAGAAATCTTGTATATTCTTTCCATTTGGTTCTCTTAAACTAATTGCCACAATTCACCGTTTCATAAGGAGTCCTAATCTCTTGCGCTACAAAGCAGAAGCTGAGTTCACATCAGAGGTGAGTTTCAGCAGGTTCTGACCAGTTCTGAAGAACCGGTAGTAAAAGTTCTGACTGGCCCCACCCCCATCTATTCTCTACTTCCCAAGTCCCAGCTGAAATGGGGATTTTGCAATAACCTTCCCCTGGATTGGGGAGGGAATAGAGATTTTACAGTATCCTTCCTCTGTCATGCCCACCAAGCCACACCCACAGAACCAGTAGTAAAAAAAATTGAAACCCACCACTGGTTCACATGTTGGGATAAACTTGCATTGAGTTACCTGACCTAACCTGGTATGTGAACCAGGGCCTATTCTGTAAACTGAAACAGTAAACCATAGTTTATCACTTTGTATAGTAAGGTAAAATTTAGGAAGCTATTAGGGACCCAAACAGTGCAAAAGAAGACTAGTCCAGCAGACAAATGCAACTAGAATTTAAACTTCCTGTTGAGAGATGGATCTGAAATTTTTTGCTTCCTGTATGAACATAGCTATTTCTAATCTGTACAGGAGACTGTCCGTGAAAGAATTATCTTGTGAAATGTTATTAAACACAACAATCAATCGGATTATACTAAGGTATACACATTATCACACGGATAATACTAAGGTTATTTCTTTCCAGTTCTATCAGTAATGTTTATAAAAATGCATTCAATAGATGGCACTGTTGCTTTAGACAAGTGTTTCAAACCTGTTAAGGCCAGGGAACATTTTAGTTTTAAAAAAATATTCACAAACTTCTGACCAAGAGAGGTAAAGCTAGTTAACAAAATTGGCTGTGTTTGAGTTAACTTTCTGTTTGTTCTTAGCCTCTCACAAAGTCTGTGAAGGTTCCCCAGAATACAGTTTAGAAATCCAGGGACTTCCTTCCAGTTGAATAGCCTGTAATTTCATAGTGTCGGAGAAGATGATACCACAAAGAGCAGTTCACTTTTCCTACTGGCATTGCCCCCCCACCCAAAAAAGAGTAAGACCTGCCTGCCTCCTGCAGGCTGGTCTTCTGGAATGAGGAAGTCAGGAGCTCGTCTTTGGAGAGGTCAGGAGTGGAAGTGCCCCTGCCTGGGCTAGACTCAAAAATGCACTGCTTAATTCCAAGCATGAAGTTCTTTCGGAGTGCAAGGGATGGGCCCTTTCAAGGTTATTGAAGGGATTGACAGCAACCGCTTCTGTCTCCAGAAAGGAATTCTTTTCAAAGTATATTTCTCTCTCTCTCTCTCTCTCTCTCTCTGAATCAACAGTGGCTGCATATCAGGAATCAAAGAACACGGTTGCACTGATTTTTCTCCTAAAGCATTTGTTAAGTTAGTAACACAGTGGTTAAGCGAGTCTGGCTTACCCATCGACTTTGCTTGCCAAAAGGTCGTGGAAGGGGGTCACATGATCCCAGGAAGGTTCAACCTTCATAAATATGAGTCAGAGGCCAAGCAGATGAGTTTGATCACCTGACCATGGGGCTGCTGCATCAATCATCAGTGTGAAAAATGGTAATGAATCACATTTTTCAGTGATGTTGTAACTTTGAACAGTCACTAAACAAACTGTTGTAAGTTGAGGACTACCAGTAACTAACAAACAATAGCACGGTTATGATTAATGGAATATTAGGAGAAGATGTTTACACTGGAACTGTTTCAAATTTAACAACTCCCATTGCCACAACTGCTTCTTGCAAACAGCAGCAAATATTTACATACTCAGAGCCTGCTTCTTCAGAAGAGCAAAGGGACTGTCAGCTACAAATGGAGTAGATCTGAGTATTGCCCAAAGGGTTGAATAATTTGCTGACAGGTCATTCCTTTAATTAGGGGGATTTAGGATAATTACACTTGAGAACTTCTTGTATCAATTCCACCTGCCTTTTACGAAACATTCCACACAATTTTCTCACAAAGAAGCTACCTAAAATCCTTACTTTTCTAAAAAAGCTCGTACATAGGTTTATCTTGTTACTTAAAAGTGGATGAAAGGGAACCTAAAAGCAATTCCCGTAGTAACCAAATAAGGATTAAACATGCTTGATGGCTACAGAATATTGGAAAATTAATGCAGGTAATTTACAGTTTGATAAACATGCTGCTCATGTCTACACAATGCCTATATCCAGATCAGAGCAAGTACAGACACCACTCAGATCAGCTAACAAAGATCTAACGTGATGTTGATTAAACAATCAGTAACATCAAAACGCTTAATTGGCAAAGCACGATAAGGGGCAGGCAAAAGCAAGATAAGAGACATGAACTGAAGCAAGAACTGACATCCAAAGGGACTGAATTTTCCAGAGCCATTGGACACAATTCTGTAGGTCATTAGCATAAAGGTAAAGGTTCCCCTCACACATATGTGCTAGTTCCTGATGCTAGTGGCCGGTGCTCATCTCCATTTCAAAGCCGGCACTGTCCGAAGATGGTCATGTGGCCGGCATGACTAAACACCAAAGGTGCATGGAATGCTGTTACTTTCCCACCAAAGGTGGTCCCTATTTTTCTACTTGCATTTTTTACGTGCTTTCAAACTGCTAAATTGGCAGAAACTGGAACAAGTAACGGGAGCTCACCCCATTATGCAGCACTAGGGATTCGAACCGCTGAATTGCCGATCTTTCAATCGACAAGCTCAGCATCTTAGCCACTAAGCCACCGGCGTCCTATGCCATTAGCATAGGCAGTCCCAAAGTCTTTGGTTGGCTATTCCAATCTTAATCTTTTTATGACATAATGTGAATGGGATAGGGATGGGAAGGAGGGCACTAGGTGGTCCTTCCTCTTTTCTATATCATGAAATTCAAATTCAAATCTTTATTGTCAGTGCACAACATACCGTATTTTTTGGAGTATAAGATGCACTGGAGTATAAGAGGTAGCTTAGTTTTTGGAGAGGAAAATAGGGGTGGGGGAAAACTGCCTACCA